CTACATAATCATGTTTAAGGTATAAAATTATGAGGACTGTTGGGCTTCTTAAAGCATGTAAAATAGAATAAGGATGGTGTTTAGATATGTGCATTACAGACACCTAAGATGTTATACAGGCATTGATTTCTTTTATAGTAACATTTGTGAACTGGGAACTAGTGAGCTTTTTATTTTATGATTTTAGTAATACCATCTGCTCTTTAATATAAACTTGCAAAGATTTCTGTTTCTTAATTAGGTGGGTTTGGAAATGATTAAAAATCTCCTACCTCCCTTCCTCCTCATCTTTCAAAATAGGGCTTTGCATGGTTAAGTAGAATGAACAGTGGAGTTGGCCAAACCTACCTTCAGTTCCAGCTCCTCTGTGTATAAGTTATGTGACCTTGGGAAAGTTATCCTTCCTCTGTAGCCTCAGTTTCTTCATTTGTGAGATGGGATGAAATTGCTAATTCTGTAGTATTGTTAAGAGTACTCAATTACATTAAACAGTGTAAAGTTCCATATACCTAGTAGTTCCCTTCCCACTATGTTCCAAAATGTAACTCTTTTCTCCCTTTTGTTTGCCTCTTCCTTTCCCCTTATTTGCTTTCATGATTTCACTTAAACCAAAAAAAAAAAACCACAGGAATAAAATACTTGTAATTTTTTTTATGGCCTTTTCACATTTGCTAAGGGATAATTCCAAAATTCCTGTTTTGGAATCTTAATACTACTAACTTACACAGTGCTCTTTTTTACCCAGCTCCCCCCTCCATTTTTTCTTTGGCTCTGCAGGGAAGACAGGTCTCTATGTTGAACACATGAGGTTCTTGTAACTCTTTCTAGTCAACATGCTTAAGATCTCCTATCCTGGTTATTATTTCCTAGTGGCTGCTAATAGAACAAAGTACTTTTTGTGAAGTGTGGTTACTCTGCTCTGCCAAATTATAAGGCTAAAATGAAAATGGTCTTTGGTTTAAAAGAATAAACCAGATTTTGTGCTGAAATGAAGTTTAGCCTCAGCAGCTCAGGGAGGCGGTTAGCAGATCCACATTTTTGGTAAGATTAAATAAATTGGTGTAAGAATAAAACACTTAATAAATTTAAATAAATCAGCATTTAGAATATGCTGCCAAATTCAGAATCTAGTTCTTTGCCCTGCAGTGGCCCTCTGCCATTTGATTCTCATGACAGAATGTGAGGGCTTTCCCTTTGATTCTTACAGATCTCTTATCTTGATGTTTTTCTCAGGTCCTTTGATTCAGACGTACTCCCTATGCTTCATTTACTGCATTTCTCAGTAAATCTCTGGTGTCCCAAGCCAAAAAAGCACCCCTTTCGAAGAGCATGAACCAAGTTTGGGGTGGTTGGTTGATTGAGTGATAGTACTCTTTCTAAGTATTTGTAACTCATCTGTCTTCTGAGGGTTTCTTATGCTTCTAGCAGGCACGTGTCCCATTGTTGTTAAGCAAAGCCCAGAATGTATGTTTGACAAGTTAGCAGCGTGGCGGCTCAGCTTGCTCCCCAACCCTGCTGCAGTCTCAGGGATTGTTTGGTTTGGCAGGAGGCCAGCTCTCTGCTATAAGATGCATTTCCTTGACAGGATAAAGTGTGGAGCCGCATTAGCTGCAAAGTTTACAAAGGTTAACTAAACACACACAATAAATATTAATAAACAAAAAAGGCCCACCCACTTTTGACTTTGAATTCTGTTTCTTCAGTCTGTGTTTTGGAATCCCTGTAGTATTTGATTAATAACCAGTCTTAGAGTAATTGAGCCTTAAGTATCCTTTGCCTAAGTCAGATTGCTCATAGGCCCCTCATTGGCTGCTTTGGTGACTCATGGCCACAGTGGACGGAGCTGTGGAAGGACTGTTTAGTTCAAGGAGTCTTATTTGTCACTCCCTGCCTTGCTATGAAAGGAGGATAAATGTGCTTCTCCGCAGGCACTATACTGACCAGCCTTGTGTGCCTAAGAGATCTGGAGGGTAAAGGATGTCAACAGGAATAGAGATGCAGTGCCCATGGGCTCCCTGGAAAGCGATCGGACTTCTGTTTGTTGGTCTGGGCAGTTGCCTCTCTCTAACATTTACACCCTCTGCGTAGAGGGAGAGAGTAACAGTAACCTGCTGCCCCTGAAAACTGCCTATTTGGCTGGGTGTCTTGGAATTCATCAGGCCTACATGTGAATCTTTTCCAATTCTGCACCCTGCTCACTTGAAAGCATATTTGAGAACCAGTAATCTTAGACTGCTTAGCCAGACTTCTAGAGAACCAAGAAAGAGAACTAACTCTACTACTATACCCTTAAGACTGTTCTAGAGTCATTTGTGAGTGGCTGAGACTTCTAGAAGCCCGCGAAGCCCCTCTCATTGTCTTCTCTTGTCCTCTGGTTCATGCACATTCTCTTTCTAGGACTACATTGGAAGGGTACTAACCCTGCTGCATCTGTAGGATACATGAGTGTAATCATGATATGGAGAAACCAAATTATTCCTCAGGGAGAGTAGTGATTTTAACTTGAAAATTGCCTCCAGCTCTCTGCCTAGGAAAGCAATCTATTTAGGCATGGGTGAACTGTAGCTTTTAATTCATTCCTTTAGCAAGCATTTGTTGAGCAGCAGACACTAATCTAGACACTTGGGATACATTCAAAACAAAACTGACCAAGATGTCTGCCCATGGAACTTATGTTCTAATGGGGGAGGCAGACAGTAAGCATAATTAATAAACAAATTGTATATTGGGTTAAAAGCTGATATATTCTATGAAAAGAGAAAATGAAAAGCAGAGTTAGGGGAGTTCTGGGGCATAATTTTCAGTTGGGTGGTCTGAGTAGCAATGACACTTATGCAAAAACTTAAAGAGATGAGTCTTGGCTCGGATGAACTTATTCTAGATAGGGTTACATAAGCATGACTTTATGAAGTCATGTTTGTGACTCTCCTCATGTTTCCATATACCTGGCTGTGACCATCTGGGAATTTCCAGTGGTCTAGGCATGGTTCTCAAATTAGTCTCAGTGGTGAGCAGAGCACCTGGAAGTCAGGCTGCACTTTGCAGACCATGAACTATTGAGATACCTAATTCCATTTTACCATCAGGAGCAGTTTTATTCGAAGAAAAATGTGATTTTTATACCCATGCTTTATAAAATAGGTTCACAAGTATATATACAAAGCAAAAGCAACAACAAAACACTGTCAGATTAAATATAGTTTACTTTCTTCAAGATTTTCTGTTAATATTTACTCATTATTATGTATGTTTTACCGTCTTTTAGCACTTGCCAATAGACACTGGTAAGCAGGCACTGTAGATTCAAGGAAAATTCTGCAAAGAATACATAAAATTGTGAAAACCTGCCGTTTTAACTTAGTTTTCTCTGCTACTGATGGAGAAAACACAGCCCCTCTGATTTTATTTCCTCTGTAGAACATCTCAATCCTCTTCAGCAGTGTATAGCTTAAGAACCACTCTTCTGGAGTATTGTCACATATGGATTAGGAGTCTTGTGGACTTTTTTCAGCTTTTTCCTTAGTTCCTCTAGAATCTCAGAGAAGGATTTGTAGTCATTTACCTATTTATTGCAATTTTTTTGCCAGTCAGATGGGAGTCAGAATTTCTATCAAAAGGGATCTCAGAGATTCCCAGATATTCTGTCTTTTTTTTTTTTTTTGAGTTGTAGTCTCACTCTGTTGCCCAAACTGGAGTGCAGTGGCCACTCCCGGCCACCGCAGCCTCGACCTGCTGGGCTCCGGCGATCCTTCCACCTCAGCCTTCTGAGTAGCCAGAATTACAGGCACGCGCTACCATGCCCGGCTGATTTTTTGATTTATTGTAGAGATGAGGCCTCACCAAGTTGCCCAGGCAGGTCTCGATCCCGCGGGCTCAGGCAATCCACTCACCTCAGCCTCCCAAAGGCGCAGGATTACAGGCTGAGCCACCGAGCCCGGCTCCAGATATTCTGTCTTAACAAAAGAGTAGGGTGATTAGAGACAAGGAACCAAAGAAATTCAGTCCAAGGTATTTAGGAGACAGAAGTGTCATGATTTTCATTTTTCCATTAGAACTGTAAATTGCTAATATCTAATTGTACTCTTTTTTCTTAGTCCCTGTGCACAGCTTTGCCAAGTGATAGGTTATTAATAAATGTTGAATTAATGCTTCCACTTATTTCTTGCTCTGCAAAACCTAGTACATGATGTTTCTGCTTACCAATGTTAGCTTCATCTTTTTTTCCCTTTAATTCTTCCCATGCTGTCCCTCCCACCTCTGCCCTCTTACCACAGACAAAAATTAAAAACAGGTTGTAGTTCTCACTGAGAACTCATGCTTATTTTTGACTTCAGAGCACCACTTATTTTCCTCACCAATAATGAATTCAGAGGTTCATAACTTCCAGTGAACCTTTTCTTAAACAGCTTTTCACTCAGGTTAATGTCAAATCTTTGTATTATATATCTATGTTTTACTTCTGCTATTGTCCTGCTGTTTTATCTCATGGGTAGGGAGAGATTATCAAAAGCCTACAAATGTGTGTTGTTTCTGAAAAAGCTTTATGTGATTTGGATCTTTGTGAACTAAAAACAGTAACCACCTGGCCTCAATCTGCTGTCCAGAGGGACATAACTGTGTGTGTGTGTAAAAACATGAAACACTGAGATCTAAATCTTCTTCGGTGGTAAGTGTAACAGAGTTATGTGGATTCAGCGTTCCGTGATGCCAGCCTCACGTGGTAATGGATCTGGGAAGCCTAACTTTGTAGTTTCAAGGCTGTCAGGAAAGGGGGGTAATGTCAGAAAGGATACATCTTTTTTATTTTTAGAGTATCACACAGATAGTAAGTGATAGAATGGAACTTAATCTTAGGAACACAACTTTATGGTTTAGAAGAAAATGTCCTAAAAGTTAGAGGTAACCATCAGGATCACATCTGGTTAAGTGAAGCAGCCATCAAAGTACCAGCAGGATTTTTTTCCATTTATTTAGTCAGCCACTATGTCTTTCCTTTTCAGAGTGTTGTCCGTTGCCTGTGGCATCCAAAGCTGAACCAGATCATGGTTGGAACTGGAAATGGATTGGCTAAAGTCTATTATGACCCCAACAAGAGTCAGAGGTATTTCATAAAGATTGCTGTTTTAGATGGATGACAGCAACTGGGGGGAGGGCTTTTTTCACCCCGCTTTTATTTATTTTCCTCTTTGATGGGGATCCTCCCTTTTAGAATCTGCAGCTGGCACAGAGTAAAGCCTTAAACTGCCAGTATTGTGTTTTAAAGAGGATTTGGATATCACCCTTGATCCATACTGAATTCAAAGTGAAAGTTTCCCGGGGATTTGCAGTTCTTTAGCTGAAATGTTGAGTGCAAGGGGTAAAAAAGTTCTGCCCACTTTGCATACCACCCTGGACAGTGGAATTAACAGTGATGCATGTAAGGGATTAACAAAGCAGGGAACCAACCACTTACAGGAAATGGAAGTGGATTCTCCATTTTGTTCCCTTTCTTTTTTGGCTTTTAGCAACTACTGATTTGGTTGTTTGGCAAGATTATTCTATTCCAGCAGAAAGAGACAGCACAAATACTTTCCTCCTCAGCTCCCATGCCCACCCCACATGTCAAACTTAAGCATACCAATATATTTCAAAGTTCTGAAAACTTAACTGGAGGCTTAATCAGTTTCTCAGTTATTTCCATTTTCCTTGGGCACAAAGGTAGGTATGTGTAACCACCCCAAAAAGGGTGGTTTTGTTTATTTCTCATAAAGTACGGTAACTGATTAGCTCTTTCTTTAAAGTAAGCCTTGGTTAGTTAGTATTAAAATTTACATGCAAAATTCACTAGGATTCCCTGTAAACCTGTTTTGAGGTCCCACATCTTTTGAGGAAAGGAAAGACATTCTGTATGAATGGATATTCACGGACAATAATGTTGCTCTGAATAGAAGCAGACAGCCTTGTCTTCCTTCAGAGCTTCCTAGACTAGGGTTGGAACCCTTGCCTTATAAAATAAAATATATGTTATGGTATGTAAGAACAAATAGGATTTTATTTATTTTTTATATAAAGAAAGTTAAAATGCTAATGCAATTAGAATGGGAGGTAGTCTGTTTCACTTGAGAAAATGATGAGTCTCATTTGATAGCACCCATTTAGAAGGCACTCTTTGTGGAATCCTGACTTTAAGAAATTTGCATGTTTGTATTTGCTTCTCTTGCAAAGGATAGCTCAGTATTGCTAAGAAATACAATGTTCTAAGCACATTTAGGTTAATCCCACACATTCTTGTGCTGTAGCCCCTTGGCAATACTGGTAAACCGACTCAGTTCCAGACACTTGTACTCTTATATTTGAGATGTGGAATAGACCACCCAGGCTGCTTTCATCTGGGATATAAATTAAAATTTGACCCCTTGGGCCTTTGTGGTAAAAATGTTGGTTAATTTTATCATTTATCTAAAATCTTAACATTTTAAGTTATTTCTTTAGTTTTTAACTTATGTCTTATTGTCCTGTTACCTCTCCAACCCTTTCACTTGGTAGTAACCCCTGACTGACAGACTTGCTTTTCCCTAAGTTCAATTCCTCAAGACCCCATCTGTTGCCATCCCCAGAAAGTCAAGTCATACTTGACTAGGCAGAGTATGTGCACTGAGTATGTTCCTGAAAGTATCTAGTGCTTTCAGCAGAGACTTTCTGTTTCTAAAACCAATATGATAATTTGCTTTTACCCCCTTCAGGGGAGCAAAATTGTGTGTGGTTAAAACGCAGCGGAAGGCAAAACAAGCTGAGACTCTAACCCAGGACTACATCATCACCCGTAAGTCCTTAGCATGCCTCTCAGTCATGCATCTCTCTTCTGCTTTCATGTGGTATGGATTGCATAGTTTTAGAGACAGGAAAAGCTTTCAGAGTTCAGGCATATATTACAGCATCTCCCATTCATGTGGACAGGACTACAAGTCATGTAACAGCTAACCCCTTTAGATTCTGTGACTCATCACAGGGACAGGGTTATTTCATGTAACTTTCAGCCCAAAAGGGAAAAGCCTGTTTGAGCCTCATGTGTTACTCTATAGCAGCCATTTAAAGAGTAACAGTCTGTTCTAAGAATAAAGAAGAAAGAGTTCTGGTTTGAAATCAGGAGGCCTGGGTTTGTCCAGTTCCACTGCTGACTGGCCACGTGGTGTTGAGCCACTGAACTTCATCAGGAGAGTGAGGAGACTAGAAGAAGAAATTCTGAGCATGTGCTAGATTGATCCAGAAGAATGTGGATATAAAATCAGCTTTCTAGAGTATAGCAGAAAGCGTACTAGGGTAAAGTGTCTTCTCTCCAGTTTGCCACACAGCTTCATTAATCTGGCAGATCTGTGTTCTCAGAGCCGCGGTCTCAAACCTGAAACAGACAGCTAGGAAAGAAATCTCAGATGCCACAGCAGTTGTCATTAGCGGGTGGCCCTGTGGACTTTATCAGTCTAGAGCCCAGGGGGCGCTGTACTGCTGAGTTTTCACCCCAGTTGTAGGTCTCATGTAAGACCAAGTCCCGTGGAGCTTATGATCAGTAAAGAGATACCATGACACTTTTTGCAAGAGAAGAAGTGTTAAAGACGGTGTCATAACCAGTCTCGCTCATGTAATTACACGCTGCCTACTTAAATTCCCCCAGCCGTTTGAAGTGAAAAGCTATTTTTCCCCCTCCTAAAAATACTGTTGTGTTGTGCTGCCCGCCAGAAGGACGGGTGGCTATGTTTCTCATCTTCTTTGACTCAAGGCAGGCATGTTTTACTGGTGAGTGATATGGTCTGGCCCCAGTTGGCATTAGGGATAGAGGGTAGGAGGGTATACTGGAAGAGTTTTAGGATGTTATAGACATTTCATTTGTCTTATAATTCCTTTTAAAATTTCTTTCCCTGGTCCCCAGGGAGCAAATTCTCTCTTAAAAGAAGTTTTAATCTGTATGTAATATAAGAGTGTAAAGAAATTATGTTGGTGCTTTTGGGGGGCAAGAACAGGATAGTTATTTAATACTTCCCCAATAGCCCTTTCCCTCTCCCCCAGAATTTTGTACTGTTTCCCTTTTAAATTCTTATACTCTTTTATACTCTGAAATTTAATTTTGACATTGAGTAAACAACATCAGCAACTGAACAAATATTACTCTGGTTTTTATTCTCTTGTTTTATCTACCATATAGAAGGAGGGATAATGCTCCATCAAGTCCCCATGCCAGGATAGTTAAGCACCCCTTGCACTCAAGGCAACCTTTATCCTAGTTTCAGTAGGATAAGTGCTCCTCCCTTCCGGTTACTCAGTGTTGTCAACTTCTCCTGAGAGGTGGTCACATTTCAGAAACGTGTGAAGTGATTCCAGTGTTTATGAGGCATCTGAGGAAACTTCAGGACTGACAGCAAGCTGTTGGCATTATTCACATTTGGTCCTGTAAGAAAAAATAAGAGGCAGTCCCAATACTTGTTTCTTTCTAAAACCACAGAAATTAAATTTTAACTGCTACCCATAGCTTGGGAGATGGGGAGCCTCACCAATGTTTTTGTGACAGTATTTTCTGAGCTCCATTAGCTGCCAGTAGAGGTGAACAATGAGTCTGGTCTCAAACAAAATTGGTTAATTGGTTACAGTAAGACTGTCTTTTATTATTAGATGAAGGCTGTCATTATGATTTCCATTTCATCTTTCAGTTAGTCATGCCTTAGCTATGTTTTTGGATGGAAGGGTTATTATTATAATGAAATTTTTCAAATGTGACTTCTTGTAGCTCATGCCTTGCCTATGTTCCGCGAGCCCCGCCAACGGAGTACAAGGAAACAGCTGGAGAAGGACAGACTGGATCCCCTGAAGTCACACAAACCGGAACCTCCTGTAGCAGGCCCAGGTGACTGTGATCTAGCTAGAGACCCACAAAGGGAGTTGGGAGGCAGGATGGAGGCATTGTGAATTGGGAAGAACTTTTGGGCCTGGATGCTCCTTTGTCTTCAGAGAGCTTTCACTAGATAGTTTTCAAACATTTTCTTTTTAGCAACGGAACTTTAAAGATCTGATACAGAATCCCAGTGTATAAAACTGATAAAAATAGAGCTACTGTGCTGAGGTAGGAAAGAAGCCTGAAGCCCTGTTGGCTCAGTCTCCAACTTGAGCCCTGCAGGTGACCTCAGTGGAACTTCGGGGCGTCTTGGAACTTGGTGTTAAAACGGCTGCTCTCAATATTGGGTTAATATACAAAACTGGGCTCTTTGACCAGAATCCAGACTGGATTCAATCTCACATAAGGTAGATACTAGTCATAATTTAGTTTTTTGTTGATAAAATAGAGCTGGCCATATCACTACAAGATGAATAAAAAGTCTTTACAGTTTTTAGAAATAGGTACCAGAAGAAAACAAGACAGCACTGGCCACAGTACAGTTCATATCTTCACTAGAATTTCATTTTCTGTTATCACCTGTGTAGTTATCATTTGTTGTAGGCTCCTACGCTTCCAGTTTTAGACTTGTTCATTCATCTAAGCCTGAGATCTGGACTGTCATCTGTTTGGTCTGCTCCTTCAGCATAGAAAACATCTCACATATCCATCTCAATTATTTTAAAAATTTTCTCTCCTGCCATCCTAATCAAAGTTCCTAAAAAACATTTTTGGCTGGGTTATTGTGAGCCCTTCTACCTTAGCTCCTCCTCTCAAGTTCTGTCCCTCTTCCCCGCCCCGTCTCACAGCTTTAATCCCTAACTCCTCTAGCTTTCATGTTGTTACTGCCCCCAAACCTTCATTTGCTTCCCACTGTCCAGTTCTATTTCCAGAGATTCATGGTTCTCTACAATCTGACTTGAGTCTACTTTTGTGACTTCACACCTCACTTCTCTCCTACTCTAATCTTCTGGTATGACTGGTGATTCACTCCTGTCCCCACATACCCCTTCAACCTTCCTGATTCTGCATTTTTGTATTTAACTCATTTTGCTTATTGAAAATAGCCTTCTTTGCCTTCTGAGAGTTTCCACACTGGATCCTTCTCTTTCATAAGATCTGCTCTACCTCCTCAGCCTGAAGTACTGTCTTCCTCTAAGTGCCATAATAGTTACTGGCCATACAAATTATCTGGCAGTTAAGTTAATTATTTCCTGCTTTATTTAGTTTCTTCTTATCATGATTTATGAAATTAATCTTTTAGTGTTATTTGGCTTTTCATGTGTTTATTTTCCTTAAAAAAGTCATACTTTAAAAAAATTATTTATTTATTTATTTTTATTTTTTCGACAGGTACCATACTAGCTGCTAGGGATCTAGTGGAGAACAAATTCCCACCCCTAAGGAGCTTCCTATCTACTAGGCAGTTTCAGTACAATAAAGCAATGTGGATCAACTCATTTGTTTTCTTTCATAATACCCAAAAAATACCTATAAGATACTTGAAAGATGGCAAGCCCTAAGATATGTTTGTTTAAAACTAAAATAGCCTCTAGTGAATATTGGCTCTTTGTATTAATTGAATGTGAAATGTTCACGTCAGAGGAATTTTTTTAAGGCATATACATGCCAAACTATTTGTAATTCTTTCTTATATTGATATCTTCTATAAATTGAGCAACTAAGACGTAACAATTTTTAAAAGTATCTTTCATTTAACAATGTTAGGGAGAAGTCAAGATTTGGTGGTGTCTTACTTTGGTTCTGATGATCTTAAACCAGAGCTGAAAGGATGATACTCAAGTACTCTTGAGATTTGTGCTCAGATAAGTACAGTGTACACAGGTGTACTTATATATTGTCATGCTCGTTCAGTTTCTAGTTTGAGTCTTTTCTTTTGAAACAGGTCGTGGTGGTCGAGTTGGAACCCATGGGGGCACTCTGTCATCCTACATCGTGAAAAACATTGCTTTGGACAAGACCGATGACAGTAATCCCCGGGAAGCCATTTTGCGTCATGCCAAAGCAGCAGAAGACAACCCATACTGGGTTTCTCCGGCATATTCCAAGTAAGTATATCACTTTTGAAAATAGAAAAATTAATTAGCAGGGCATGGTGGTACGTGCCTGTAGTTCCAGCTACTTGGAAGACTGAGGTGGAAGGATCGCCTGAGTCCAGCAGGTAGAGGCAACGGTGGCCATGAGCATGCCACTGCATTCCTGCCTGGGCGACAGAGACTCTAACTCAAAAAAAAAAAGAAAATAGAAAAATTGTTATGTTTAATGAATTGAGAATAACATAACAATGGTATTTTGAGGTTCCAATTTCTCCATTTCTTATTTCATGCTTGAACATGACACGTAGGCCAGGTCCTCATAGTCTTAAAGCCTACATGTTTGTTTATATTGTTAAGATTCTAAAATAGTGAATTTTATAACTAGGCCAGTTTGGTCAGAGTTATAGCCTAGTATAAACCATTTTGAGAAGCCTATGATTCAAACAAACAAGTAAATCACTGCCTCTGTGCATTATCTTAGTTGAGAAGGGTTAAAAGTAAATGAAGGGGAAGATTTATAAGTCTATTATTAAGGACTAACTCTTATTTATAGGGTGGTATATGTAACACTGCAGAGTAAATCCCACCTGCTCAGAGTCCCTCAGACAGCTTAACATGGGTGAACATGTAGTGGTTTCAGCTACATTTACACTGAAGAAAGGTACTGCTGTACAATCTTCTTAAGTTTTTTAACTTGGTATTTGAATTTTAGACTTACAGAAAAGTTGTGGAAATAGTACAAAGAGTTCATACATACTCTTCACCCAGCTTCCTCCTAATGTAACACTTTACATAACTGTAGTACAATTAATTATCAAGACTATGAAACCAAAATTGGAACAATACTATTAACTAAGCTACAGACCTTACTTGGTTTTCACGTTTTTCTGTTAGTAGTCTTTCTCTGTTTCAGGATCCCATGTTGCGTTTAGTTGTTATTTCTCTTTAGTCTCTTCCAGTCATAACAGTTTCTCAGTCTTTCTTGTCTTGCATAACCTTGACACTTTGAATGAACACTGGTTATTACTGTGTTGACTTTCTCTTAGTTTGGGTTTAATTGATACGTTCTTATATTTGGAATGAGACCAAGCATGTTTGTCAAAAATAACACAAGAATGATATTGTATACTTCTCAGTGTATCATATCAAGGTCTTCATGATATTAATTCTTATTAATGTAATTAATTTCTTATTTCTGGTGATGTTAACTTTGGCCACTTGGTTAAGATGATGTCTGCCAAGTTTCTCCACTGTAAACATGCTGGCATTCTGTTTTGAGTTGATGAATTTCTTGGGGGTGATATTTTACAACTATACAAATTCTGTTTCTTTTCAAACTTCTGCTGTCTAATGTTATCATCCATGAATGGATTTGCCTGTAACAGTTATTACTATGGTGTTGCCTAACGGTGATTTTCTGTTTTCCTCTTTTCTTCTATCTTTATTAATTGGAATTCTACCTAAAGGAAGAGTTGTCCCTTCTCCCACATTTATTTATCTTTCAGGTATTTTTTCAGGTTTTTTTTTATATTGGTATGTTCTCTAAAATACTTACTTTATTCTATGAGTTAAGATCCAGTACTATCAGTATTTAGTTGTTGCTCAAATTGTTCCACCTTTGGCCAGTAGAAGTTCCTTCAGAATGACTCCTGTCATCCTTCAGCATACCCATATATTTTTTTGTGCACTTCTTTACTTTCTGGCAACATAAGATGTTTGTTTTTCTATTCCCCATTCTCTTCTCCAAAGAATCCTGGCTTCTTTTATTGGAGAATGGTGTTTAGAAACCAAAGGCTGGATGCTAGATGTGCTCATTGCTGCTAAAGTGCCATTACTTCTAGGTCCTGTCAGCTGCCAAAGCTAAAAAATATATGTACACTTACTAACCTGTGCATTTATACACCTGTATTTCTGAATGTATCAACCTGCATTTATATTTTAAAAACCATGAGTTTAAACTGATGCTTCTGACTTCAGCTCTGTACCACAGTGTTCATTTAGTTTTTCCCTTTTCCATATTTGTAACTTATTTCTCCATTAGTGAGAAACCCAGCTTTTGTTCAATTCTAGTATAAGTAAAGTAGTTTCAGAATTTATAGCCCATACCTCTGTAAGAATCACATTTTCTAACTAGATTACATTATTTTTGTGCAGTTCTTTTTGTCTTTAGCTTTACAGTATCTAGTTAAGATACTGTTTTGCAAAGTTATTTACATTAGATTTTTTTCTTCACCACCATAGTCAGTGTTGCTTGTTATTCATTTGAAGTGCAGTTGGGTTCATTTGTTAGTGTTTATATTCATTTTTTTGGATTTCTCTTACTTTCTTTTTTGGAGGGTGGTAGGGGGAGGTGTGTGTGTGAAGGGTATGCAAAATATCACTGTGGTGCTAGGAGTCAGAGCTTTAAAAGAGATATTTTCAGAGAAGGATCTCTTCCTCTTCCTCTGTACTCTCTTGTTCCCATTCCCAGTCCTCCCTTTTTTGAATCCCTTTCCCATCCTCCTCCTATAGCTAAACAATCTCTTTAGTTCCTGGTCTATCAGGACTTCTTTAGAACAAATGAGCAAATAGATTCGTGAGTATTTTTTTATATCCTCACTTTTCTTACATGAATGGCTGCTTAGTGTAAGTACTCTTTTTCCTTTTGTTTGTCTAAGTTCTATTTGAAAATCTGTCAGTTTATACAGCTCATTCTTACTGTTTTTCACAGTTGCATAGTACTCCATTGTATGAATTTATCATAGTTTATTCAACCATTCTCCTATGTATGGGTATTTAGGTTATTTCCAGTATTTTGTTATTACTAACAATGCTACAGCAAATAAACTTATACATATGCATTTTGTATTGTTAGAGGTATATTCAGTTATTTCTTGATGTCTTCATATATTGCTCAAGTTTTCTCTTTAATTATGAGTACTGGACTCTGATTACTTTTTTAAAACAAATGTTGGGGAAAATCCCTTATAAACCAACTCAGCTTTCATGTTATACTGCTCTCAGTCCCCTGTCTGATCATTAGGAACTACTTTGCATAAAATAAAAACACATTGTTTTAGTTTGGGTTCCTTAGAAGCAGGCCCTGAGATACAGATTTATGTAAAGGTGTTTTATTAGGATATGTTCCAAGAGAAGATGAGTAGGGGAGTGGATAAGTGAAATGAAGCCAAGCAAGGGTGCAGTATCAAGCCACATCCCAGGGAGGGTCACTTTGGCTCAATCTTGCATTGTAATTCTGGAGGTCCAGTCAGATTTGTCCTGGTCAGGGTCAGGGCAGCTGGAGTACTTACACTCTCTTTTTGATTGGTTATTGGTGATAACTGGAGATGGGGCTAGGAAAGAATTCGGGCACTTCCAGCTATCCAGGGCTTTGGAGATAGGTGCTGCTGCTGTGAGTGAAAGCACACTGCACAGAAATGCTAAGGGATATGAGGAGATCTGGGGGAGCACAGCATTCTCTGCTGTATGCACTGTAGCAGAACAGACTTCACTATGTAATGTCACTGGTGGTTGTTCACAATGTGTGTTAATAACCAAACAATACAGATGGAACATCTCTGAACAGTGAGTTGGATAATAGTACAACAGCATAAAGGGTTGTATCAAGGCTGACCAGCTAGTGAGTATGCCTTTAGCCTTCATTTGTTTAGAATTTATGCATGTATAAGCTAAAACATGTCAGCACATCATTGATAGTCAGATAAACTTATAGATGATGCTTATGTTGATGCTTTGTTTTTAAGGGAGTGGTTATTTTCCATTATTGTTAGTTTTTCTTTTAACACTTCAAAAACCTTTTTTTTTTTTAATTTTTCTTTTTTCTTTTAAAGATGTGGGGTACAATTCAGGATTAGGTATACAAATGTTGATTATGCAGTTACCCTTGTTGATGAAGTGTGCCCCTCCCTCCACTGGCAGTTTCCCTCACTGCCAATCTCCCCTGTCCCCTGGCAGTTTCCTACTACCTTCAATCCCTTTCTTATAGTATTATGATAATTGTTCAAGGTCTGCTTATGAGTGAGAATATATGGTACTCTGTTCTTTGTTTCTGTGATAGATCACTGAGTATGATCGACTCTAAATCCATCCAAGTTGCTGCGAAGTCTATGTTTGTCCTTCTTTATGGCTGCATAGTATTCCGTTGTGTATATGTACCACATTTTTTTTTTATCCAGTCCAGTTTCTATGGGCAGCATGGTTGGTTTCATGCAAAAACCTATTTTAGAAACATACCAAAGATTAGTTGAAGAAAGAAAAAAAAACAGCCATAGTTTAAAATTTGCCAAACATGGCGAGTGTTATTTTGATGGCCAGCTGCTTCAAATATGTGTGTGTGTGTGTTTACACATAAAATAAATCACTGAGATATTTTCAAAAATATTGAAATAATACTGTTTCCTGATTATTGGTTAATAACAGCAATATATATATAATTCATAGAACCTAACTTACCACTGAAGAAGAAGAAAAACATTGAGATGACTTTTAGAAACTGTTGGATTGCTGGATTGCAAGTCATTGCTAAAATTGAGACCAGGAACCTGGCCTTAGAATTTCCAAGTTCTTGTTGTAATGTCTAACAACTAATTATTTTGATAAATCATTACCTTCAATTTAGTATGTAATTTTCATGTAAATACACACAGTCTAAAAAAAATCTAGCTGTACTAAAGGGTAGCCTGGAATTTGAAAGCTTCTTTCACAACCCCTAGTCCCTTCATTCTACTACTTAGAGATACCAATCACTGCAGATGCTTATGAATTCTCCCAGAGGGAGATATGTGTCTAGATACTTCCATTATTTAAAATGGAGGTGTATAGCATGTTTTGCAAACTGGTTTTTTGCCTTGTTTGTTTGTTTTTTTACTTAGTATGCATCAGAAGATTGGGCCAGATCCATCCTTCCATCTATCCATACCTAGCTAATACTTTATTTTTATCAATTGTATGGGTATATTGTACTTTTCTACAACAATATTCACTTGAAGAACAGTCCCATTGTTTTTAGTCTT